GTTTTATAACATCATAAATACTCTTTTATAAAATCTTCTACTCCTTGATTTGTAGGACTATGAACCTGTGTTGTTTGACCTTAGTATGGTTTCTGGTGGAATTCTTACTGATAAACGACATCTTGTGGATCAGTACCCACATAGGTGTAACAATTATGTTGATCCAATTTGTGCGCATCCAGGTATTTCAATGTCATCTATGTAACCTTTTACTTTCCTGAAGTGATAGAGATTTAGAACATATGAGTTCTATGAATTCTGCCTTCGTTTGCATATCTTTGTCCTCTTATCCTACAGTCATATAAGAAAGAGATTATGAGCGTTTACGAAAACTATGAAGGATCAGTCAGTTGCTGAACTGTTGCCCACCTCAGACCTGTTTTTACCTTTCATCATTTGTGCAGAATATCCATTAAACATGATTGCATTGACTTAATGATGAGAGTAATACCACAATATTACGTGTAAAAGAAAAAAAACCCGGATCTGTTATTCTATTCTCCTTATATTTTTATCTTTGTCAATTTGCAGGTAAATGGTCAGTCAAGAGTGATGTTTATTCCTTTGGTGTTCTGCTTTTGGAATTAATAACCAAAGGAGAATGCAAGGGACCAGGACCTAACTCCCAGTCTAGACACTCACTTGTGCATCCAAGCCTAAATGTGGATTCGAATTTCCGTCTTAGTGACGCAATTAAAATCACAAAACTGGCAACTGATTGTGTTAAATATGATCCTTTAAAGCGGCCATCAATGAAGCAAGTTGTTAGATGTTTGCAGAATCTGCATGTTGTTCGACATCATGCAAATACTTGGGACATTAACAAGATGCTTAATGGTGATGATGCTATTCTGAGATGTGTTAAATGTCATGGTAACTTCAGCTTTAGATATTAATGTGATTTCTGTATTTGTAATAAAGTTGGCAATTCATCTCAAAATTCTATTAGCTATTAGTCTCAATGTTTGATCCATTTGTTTAAGATAATCACATTCATTGTTCAGTAATAGGTGATATATCCTTGTACCATTGCGGATCTCTATAAAATGAAGAACGAAACAGAAAAAATCCTAGCCCATTACTCATTTCAGCAGTGATGCAGTGGTGTCATGCAATTGCACAGTTCGTTTCTTTTGTTGTTAATGATTATATAGCTTTTGCAAATTATGATTAAGTCTTGTAAAGATGTTCTCGGTTTTGGTTTAATTTATCTTCTAGAGTTCTTATGTTGCCCTATTTTCCTTCCTCTGAGGGCTCATTGCTCTTGCTTGTGGATTAACATCAGATGTAAATGGGTTCAATTGACAGGGAAGAAGCCTGATAAACGTTTAAAATTTACCCAGGCGCAATTCTTAAAGTTCTTATCTATCACCCGGTTCACCCCCCTATCTCGCACATATTCTAGAGATCCTAATCATTGGGTGTCAGGTCAGTAGCTTATCTTGCTAGTCTGTATTTATTGCAAAAAAAAGCATAAGTGATTCTGTTTTGATTGGAGCATGCATTATGTGAAGTTGAATTTGTCTTTGTTTTCAAGCTCTTCCATTTTTTTGATACATATGTATGATTTTATATTGGCCAAATGGATAGACAAATTATGGTGTTAAAACATTGTTTCATAGATTTGAAGCTTTATGTTAGTTGAATTTAAAAACATATTAATCTTAGCCTTTCATTTTCTTGCTGTATTTTTTTGTTTAGAACTTTCATCCTTTTGTGTTGATTGTTCAGCTTATGAATAATTACAGGCCATTCAAACATTATAGCTATATTTTCAACTGGTATAGTAGGTAAGAAACTTATATGATAAGCCTAAAATTTCAAAATAACTTGCCAACTTCCATTTCCACAAATATTACGTTTGTAATTCAGTATGATCCTTCCTGTAAAATAAAATTTACTTATGGTCCCCAAACTATTTGGCCATTCTCAGTTGGTTTAAATATGTTTCTAGTCCCTGCAAATATAGTAACTTTTGTTCCGTGTAAAATTATTTTTTTATTTTTCGTCCCTGCAATTTATGTTGGTTTTCTTTTGAGTCCATCACCAATAATAACAACCTCCCCTTGACCTCAAAATAACCCTGATAAATAGATTTCCTCTAATTCTTTGTCATGTTATTCAAAAGTTTTTAATTTTATTTTTTAGAAGGCTTTTCATATATATTTTCAAAATGTGAATACTTAGTTTTACATTGTTTTAACTCTCATATTTGCCTCAAAAAAATTATAAAAGGACAAATTTAAATATTTTAGTAGATTTATATAATTGAGAGTAACTCTTTTTGTAAGTAAAGTGGCTTCAGAATTAGAGATGGACTAAAATAGTGCATATTGCAGGGATGAAAAACAAAAAAGTATTTCACAGGGACCTAAAACAATGTGTGTCATATTTGCAGGGAGTAAAAACGTACTTAAGCCTTCTCACTTTATGGTTGTCTTTACCCACTTTTTGTCCACGACTTTGAATTTCGTGTCACTTTGCACCCTTTAGGCATTTGTTCAGCTAAAGCAAAGTCAACAGGGAAACTGTATTGAAACTGAATAGATAAGTGATCGTAAGATCCTAAAGTGGGAAGTCATCCATACTTTTGCAAAAAACAGGGACCATAAATTGGTATACCCTAATATAGCCTTGGGAATGAACATACAAAATTGGGAATTACCTATTATAGTTGTGAATCAAAACAGTGAGTTAAGTAGTGCTATAGTGCTGTAGTGGCACATTAAAGTTGCGAGAGCATATGTACCACAGCTGCAATAGTGGTCGTAGCGGGGGTATATCAGCAATGGTGAATATCTAAGTTGTATGTACTAGGATTTGAGGCTTTTCGGGTGGTTTTAAGTTTTAAATGTTTAAATGGGTAAAGTAGGCTGTTTAGAATAAAAAGTAACCCCACTAAGATCCTTTGCAGTATGTAAAACCCATCGCAGCTTTCAAAAATGTAGTTCTAGGATTCTCTTCTCATTTCTTCGATGGTCAACGCTGTGGCTCAGTACCATACCACTACACCTACAAAATCTTCAATGGCAAGAACAAACCATGCTTCTTCTACTCTTGATTCTTTCAGTCTTTCTAGTCATCCGGCTAGTCTAGTAGACTAGTAGTTGCTTGAGTACGGAGCCTGGTGCCTTGTTTAAGCCCGCAGCAGACCTTTGATTCTGCTTGGAAGTGGAACAGTTTGAAGATTTAACATGGATTTCAGGAAGCTTGATAATTTGAGTAATACTTGTTGTTTTATGGATTTAGTATGTGTATTGTATGTAACTATATGCGTGCACACATTTATGCATTCTGCATATAAGTTGCCCAAGCTGTCCACTGTACCGCTATAGCATTTTCAGGCTAGGCTGCTCCGCTATCTGGGATTGTCAACACTGAACCTAATTAAGAAGATTTTTCTTGCTAAAATATACTCCGTATGTATTAACTTGTTTTGGAATTCCAAAATAGGATTGTCACGTTTTTATTTCCTAAATAGGAGTAATTACTGCCAAGTTTGGAAAATACTACCATGTTTATAGTCTGGTAATTCCAAAACATGTCAGTAATTACTCACTCGTATTTAGGAAATGAAAACATGGTATTCCTATTTTGGAATTCACAAACGTTTTTACTCCTATTTTGGGCAATTTCTCTAACTTTTTCAGCGATGACTTATGACGTATCGTTGAATATCTCTTACAAACTATTGTACATATAGTCGTATTTAATTAAATAGGACAAGGAAAATTTATTCCAATTGATACTAGCAATGCATATGACTTGATGATTGATACAATTTATTAATTGTAACAAAAAATGACATTATTTTGGGACAGATGAAGTATTTTATGCTAATTTTCCTCATAGAATATTAATGTTTCATTTCTGTTAATAATAATAGGGAACATGTTTTTGCGAGGAAAGGACAATGCAGTTGGTGTGTTTTCCTATGAAGACCTGAGTATCTTTACCAATAGTTTCAACAAAGAAAATCTGATTGGGAATATTCAATATGGAGAAGCCTTTCGTGGCAAGATTGGTGAAAAAAATGTAATGGTGAAGATCTGGAAACCTCGCCCTCCACTTTATACAGTTCGTCATGGTGATAATGAAAGCAGGTTCCGGGTATGCTGCTAATGACTGACCTGTATGTATCCCATCTTCAGTGTTTAGGCTTCTTACCGTTTCTTGACTAAATTATATTTCAGGATGAAATGGCATTGCTTCAGCACCCGATTTTGATGTCACATCCAAACATGGTTAAGCTGATGGGATATTGCTATGAGGAAGAGAAAATTGGGGTTGTCTATGATCTTGAACCACATGACACAGTATATAATCTTGTGCTTAAAGGTACAATATACATGCAATTCACTTGATCTTATTAGTCTTTCTACAAAGGGGCGTACTTTAGTACTCCCTCAGTTCTAAGTTAATGTTCCCGTTTAGAATAAGAGAGCTTGATTGTAAAAATCAATTCTGCAACATAGTATTTAATTTAGTAAAATCAGTTTAAATTTTCATACGTAGTATTTAGTAACATATTTGACAAAAAATTGGATACATAAGATTAAAAATTGAAAGAGAGATGGGAACAATGAATAAGTACACTGGCCTTATATGACAATGCTGTCTTTTCTTGTTTTCCCAGTTTCTTTCTTATTATCAATTTTGAGATACTTAATCTTCTTCCTAATAAGTAAGATTTATTGGTGTCTCGATCACATGAAGATGCTAGGGAAAGGGGAGAGAATTTGCAATTACATTTTGTCGTTTTGGTGTTTGTTGATTACCTTGTCAAATGCTAATGAATTATGATCATTGTTTTATAGGTTCTCATATTTTTAGATATGTTTGTTATTATATAATAAAAGCAAGAAAAAAGAAAGGAATAGCATCAGCTTGCACAAATATGAAAAGTAGATTTATTAGTTTGAACTGATGCACATCTTCTTTCCTTCCATATTTTTTCCCCCCATTACTTTCAGAGTCCCAACAGACCCCTAATTATTTTTTCTCCAAACCATAGATGACTTCACTTGGCTGCGCAGAGTTAGGACCATATACGAATTTGCGTGCCTCCTTAAGTTTCTACATGATCCTAATCTGCATAACGAGCCTTATATAATTCGCAACCTAGATGCTGCTCATATTATACTTGATAAGGTGCATCTTCATCTTCAATCTCTTGTGTTTGTCATCTCTGTCTCTGTCATTGTCAGATCGTTACTGAATCCATAACTTAAATGAATTACTTTGAGGTGTAGGAGTACAGCCCAAAGTTATTTGATTTCGGGATGTGTAGCGGTGGAATTCTGCTTGATGTTCGATATATAAGAGACAAGTTTACACGTGGTACTGTTGGTTACATGGATCCATATAGCTTACCGCGAGGAGGTTAGCCAAAATTCATCATGGCCCTAAATCATTTGTTTCTTCTACCCTTTGAAAGTTATTTGGCTTCATTGTTATCTTTTCCAAAGAAAGCTGGGAATATAAATCTCTAGATTGCGTCTTGTTAACTGCAAATATAAACCAAATACAACAACAACAACAACAACATCATTACCCCAGTGCCGCATAGGATTGGGTAAGAGGGGTCAGATGTACACAGTCTTACCTCTATACTAAAGCACAGAGAGACTGGTTTCGAATGACCAAATATAAACCAAATATTAACGAGAAATTTGAGGGAGTCTACCGTGACATCTAGGGGCGTATACAGAGAGAGGGCAGGGAAGAAGTTGCCCCCTCCCAACCTTCACTCAATCCCTATATGTATAATTCATATGTGTATTCATAATTAAATTTGTGTATATGATATCTAATTATGAGAGAAGTAACAAGAGTTCTATTAGGTGGAGTGGTTGGAGCGCTGCTTTGAATTCTTAACATTGGGCAGGGGTTTGAATCCCCTTTCCGGTGTTGTTTGATCTCTCTTTCTTTTTGAACTTTTAACGCATTTTGTATTTCTGTTTTCTTTTAATACGTTTAAAGCTTTAATATTACTTTACATACTAACTTTTGCCTTATTGGACAAATTTAAACTACTTTAAAATTATCAAAATTTTATTCTACCATAGAGTTGTTAAATACTTAAAATAATACTAGCTTATATTATATTACATCTTTAAATATAATATAAGCTGTTTTTACAACTTATAAATTTGCTAATTAAATTAAATTTTCTTTACATACTTTATTTGTACCTTATGTTATTCATTAATTTATTAGCACAGTTTTTAATATATCACAAATTTTGTGATTAAAACTTGTTTCATGAAATTGAAATTATATCAAACCAAACGTGAAGATAGTTTTTGAGTGAAAAGTAAAGTACAATAGCATAATATTTTGTAGTGGATAATTCATTTTTCAAGTTGACTTTATATTGTATTGTTCACTATTTAGGAAATGTGTGCAATAGGCTGATAGTATTACAATGTAATTTCGCCCCCGTGAAATATATGTCTAGATACGCCACTGACGACATCCATAGAGAGACAAAATTTGACTCTAAATACTTTGCTCAAGGAAGATCCACTCACATCAATACAACAACCAAGCGTTAGTCTCAAAAGATTTTGGGGTCAGCTAACATGAATCGATACATGATGTCAGAGCCAAAAGGTAAAGAAAGATAAGAAAGAAAAAGATAATGTATGATAAAAAAGATTATATAAAATAGAGACAGGATATACATAAAAGTGATAAAATAAAAATGATTAAAGGAATATATATTTAAAAAAGATGAAAGGATAAAAAAACATGAGAAAGAAAAACAAGATAAAGGGAAAAAGATGATAAGAGATCAATCCGCCTCCCGAATACACTTTGCTCTCTCCAAAGTCATATCCTCGTCCAGCCCAAGAAGAAACATATTACTCTGGACTCCTTTAATCCACGTATGTTTGAGTCTTCTTCTCCCTCTCCTCCCTCGATATATAGAACAAATTAATCTCAGTAAATGAGTAGTGGACTAGTGGTAGAGGGGTCTAAGTTAGAACTTCACCATATGGGCCCAGTTGACACAATTCTTGCCCGCTTCTGCTTCCGAATGAATTGGAACCTTAAGCAGAACTGGGCAGGAAGTCACGGGTTTTGTTCATTAGCCGGGGTTTCGGTCAAAACATAAACAATACAAGTATATCTTTCAAAGGAAATCCTGGTATTGGTCTCTTGATCGCCATTTGGTAATTGGTATAACTGGACAGGAGCCTCAACCTTACATACTACTATCTGTTTTGGTCCCTGGTCAGGACTGGAACAGGGTGCGCCTCGAGGAAGGGCTTCCCAAGTCTTAAGCAAATTTCAGTGTATAATATTAATCAGTTAAGAGGCTGAGTACCCCCCCCCCCCCCCCCCCCCCCCCGTGCTATCAAGTGCAGGTGTATGGTTCACAGTGTCCGATGTGTACGCTTACGGTTATATAATGCTGAGCTTGATATCCAAGAGACTCACTACAATAGAGGGCCTTAATAATGAGGAGCCCCTTGTGTCTGAATGGGCATTTGAAGAATGTGAGAAACAAATGTGCAAGGGAGGCAGCTGCTCACTCGTGGATGTCAGCCTGAAGACGCATGATGGGTTCAATCACAATGATGGAGTTCAACTTACAAAGTTGGGGTTGGAGTGTATAAATTCGGAGGGGTTTAAACGTCCTACTATGAAGCAAGTTGTGAAGCGTCTACTCAACTTGCGTGTCCTGCGCACTCATGACCAGGAACTGGGAATTAAGCAGAAGTAGCAGAAGCATTAGCAGTGATTTTTGTGAGATCTTAAATCCAGAGGAGTGGGGCTTTAGTTTCAGGCTGTTTAATTATCTAATTTTACTGCTTCTTTAAACTAGGTACTCTTCCAAGCCCTACAAATTGCCGACAGGTTATTAATCTGTCTTGTTCTTCTTCGTAGTGTCTTGTTCTTTGCCTGTTTGCTTTATTGTTTATTCCAAGTTGATTGCTCTTATAATGCTTTGCGTTCTCTTAAAGTGAGATTCACTTTTACAAATTATCTGATCTAAAACATCTTTATTTCAAATATGTGTGTTTATGTAACATGGAAATAGGATATGCAAGAAACAGGAATTCTAAGTTCTAACCAATATAGGATATGAAACATGGGGAATGTGTGATATTTAAAAATAAGAATATCTATAAATTTCCCCCACATCTTCATACACATTTTACTATTAAAAAAATTGTAATAGAATAATTGGGGAAATTGATGAAAAAATTGTAATGTAATGGAATGAAATCAGCGATAGAATACTTGAGAAAGAAGATTAAATGCAGATTTGAAAGGGAAAAGTTCATTTGCTCGGAGAGGGAGCAGCTGGCCACAAATGAAATATAAGTGCAATCTCAAATATACAACTTTTCTAATGTAAAGCTTACACATATTAAAGTAACGGATTCAACATGTCAACATACGCAATGCACTTTACATTACGGCTAATCGGCTATGTTTGGTATGATGTAATCAATCATGTAATGTAATGAGCATTACATGTTGATTCAAATACAATGCTTGGTATAATGGTATGACATTTTATTTAAAACTGTAATGTAATGTGCATTACGTATGTAGTATCTATTACTTTAATATGTGTAATAAGCATTACATTAGAAAAGTTATGTATTAGAAATTACACATTCTTGTGTTTCTTTTCGCGCGGCCCGCTGCTCCCTCTATTTTTAGATGAACTTTTTCTATTCAAATCTAAACTTTTTCTTCTTCTTTGGTGTTCTGCCGGTGCTAAGCAAACATAGTAACGGAATATTGGAGTTTTTTTTCAAGAATAATGCTAAATAAAAAAGTATTTACCAAATTGAGGTAAGGTTAAAAATATTTCCCAATCTACTGCCACAATCAACTCTAGTTTGATTTGCAGAACTGCAACTCCATCGGCGGCTTAAGCAAAATAAAAAAACTTCGGTATGTAGCAAAGCAACGCACAAGAGAGAGAAAATAGTTTGGGTCTCGCAAATAAAAAAATCTCTTGTTTTTTAAAGTGTTATAACTTTTATCTTTTTGCTCCGATTGTTACAAAAATCATATCAAAATTTATAACTTTTTATTATCTTTAATATGATACCAATACCGAAAATAAAAAACTTACATTTTTTATAGTCTATAATAGCTTAATTTTTACTCAGATTTTTAAAGTGCTATATATATAAAAATATAAAATAAAATCTATTAAAATCTACTCTTATTTATCTATTCAAGACTATACCAGACCAGATTTAGATAAATATTTGGTTTGTTTTATCTGATTTGTTTAAATCCTGTCTGGTAGATTCTCCAACAAACCAAACATTGGCTTTGAAGGAGAAAAGTTTTTAACCATCATTTTTTAAGCGGTCAAATTACCAAATTGGTAAAAAAACAAGGGATTTTACCGAATTGGTGAAAAAACCTCCTGAGAAAAATTGGTAAAAAAAATAAGCCCAGGTGACAGGTTGGTCAATGTTTTGTGAGTGAGACATTTTTTGCCCTCGACTTTTAGGGTCTGTTTACTAACAGAGATTTTCCTGTTTTCTACTTCTGTTTTTCGTTCTCCAATTTTCTGTTTTTATTTTTCAGTTTTTCTATCTCCAGTTTTCTGTTTCTATTTTCTAGTTTTCCATTTTCAAATTTGAAAACATGTTCATCAATTTTTTCACCCAATTCTGTGATCATCCAGAAGACTGACACGTTTACTTCACGGGTTACTAAATGGCGCTTATTAAGACTCACGTTAATAAACGACTCATAAAATAAGCAATGTTATAAGATCATGTTTACTTCAAAAGGATTAAAACACCGTTTAACATTAAAATGTCCAAAATAACCTTATACATATATAGACACACAAACATTCATGAACATAAATATATAATATAATATGTGGCGTCATCACCTCGTACGTGTACCCATACTCCTAACCCCTACCCTGCCCCTATACCTCGTACCCCCACCCTACACCCAATTCCACACCCTTTACCCCTACCCCTACCCTTACCACGATCTTACACTCTACCCATACTCCCCTAAAACCCTTCATACCCACCCATACCTACTCGTAGGGGTCGGGGTAGGGAAGGAAGGTATGGGTATGAGTGGGGGTGTGTGGGGTAAGGGGTATGGTCGGGGTGGGGTGGTAAGGTCTAGGGGTATGGGATTGGGTGGGTTAGGGTGGTGGTTAGGGGTAAGGGTGGGGGTAGTCAGTAGGGTTGGGATTAGGGTAAGGTAGGGGTGAGCAGCTTTGTAAGTTGAACTCCATCATTGTGATTGAACCCATCATGCGTCTTCAGGCTGACATCCACGAGTGAGCAGCTGCCTCCCTTGCACATTTGTTTCTCACATTCTTCAAATGCCCATTCAGACACAAGGGGCTCCTCATTATTAAGGCCCTCTATTGTAGTGAGTCTCTTGGATATCAAGCTCAGCATTATATAACCGTAAGCGTACACATCGGACACTGTGAACCATACACCTGCACTTGATAGCACGGGGGGGGGGGGGGGGGGGGGGGGGGGTACTCAGCCTCTTAACTGATTAATATTATACACTGAAATTTGCTTAAGACTTGGGAAGCCCTTCCTCGAGGCGCACCCTGTTCCAGTCCTGACCAGGGACCAAAACAGATAGTAGTATGTAAGGTTGAGGCTCCTGTCCAGTTATACCAATTACCAAATGGCGATCAAGAGACCAATACCAGGATTTCCTTAGAAAGATATACTTGTATTGTTTATGTTTTGACCGAAACCCCGGCTAATGAACAAAACCCGTGACTTCCTGCCCAGTTCTGCTTAAGGTTCCAATTCATTCGGAAGCAGAAGCGGGCAAGAATTGTGTCAACTGGGCCCATATGGTGAAGTTCTAACTTAGACCCCTCTACCACTAGTCCACTACTCATTTACTGAGATTAATTTGTTCTATATATCGAGGGAGGAGAGGGAGAAGAAGACTCAAACATACGTGGATTAAAGGAGTCCAGAGTAATATGTTTCTTCTTGGGCTGGACGAGGATATGACTTTGGAGAGAGCAAAGTGTATTCGGGAGGCGGATTGATCTCTTATCATCTTTTTCCCTTTATCTTGTTTTTCTTTCTCATGTTTTTTTATCCTTTCATCTTTTTTAAATATATATTCCTTTAATCATTTTTATTTTATCACTTTTATGTATATCCTGTCTCTATTTTATATAATCTTTTTTATCATACATTATCTTTTTCTTTCTTATCTTTCTTTACCTTTTGGCTCTGACATCATGTATCGATTCATGTTAGCTGACCCCAAAATCTTTTGAGACTAACGCTTGGTTGTTGTATTGATGTGAGTGGATCTTCCTTGAGCAAAGTATTTAGAGTCAAATTTTGTCTCTCTATGGATGTCGTCAGTGGCGTATCTAGACATATATTTCACGGGGGCGAAATTACATTGTAATACTATCAGCCTATTGCACACATTTCCTAAATAGTGAACAATACAATATAAAGTCAACTTGAAAAATGAATTATCCACTACAAAATATTATGCTATTGTACTTTACTTTTCACTCAAAAACTATCTTCACGTTTGGTTTGATATAATTTCAATTTCATGAAACAAGTTTTAATCACAAAATTTGTGATATATTAAAAACTGTGCTAATAAATTAATGAATAACATAAGGTACAAATAAAGTATGTAAAGAAAATTTAATTTAATTAGCAAATTTATAAGTTGTAAAAACAGCTTATATTATATTTAAAGATGTAATATAATATAAGCTAGTATTATTTTAAGTATTTAACAACTCTATGGTAGAATAAAATTTTGATAATTTTAAAGTAGTTTAAATTTGTCCAATAAGGCAAAAGTTAGTATGTAAAGTAATATTAAAGCTTTAAACGTATTAAAAGAAAACAGAAATACAAAATGCGTTAAAAGTTCAAAAAGAAAGAGAGATCAAACAACACCGGAAAGGGGATTCAAACCCCTGCCCAATGTTAAGAATTCAAAGCAGCGCTCCAACCACTCCACCTAATAGAACTCTTGTTACTTCTCTCATAATTAGATATCATATACACAAATTTAATTATGAATACACATATGAATTATACATATAGGGATTGAGTGAAGGTTGGGAGGGGGCAACTTCTTCCCTGCCCTCTCTCTGTATACGCCCCTAGATGTCACGGTAGACTCCCTCAAATTTCTCGTTAATATTTGGTTTATATTTGGTCATTCGAAACCAGTCTCTCTGTGCTTTAGTATAGAGGTAAGACTGTGTACATCTGACCCCTCTTACCCAATCCTATGCGGCACTGGGGTAATGATGTTGTTGTTGTTGTTGTTGTATTTGGTTTATATTTGCAGTTAACAAGACGCAATCTAGAGATTTATATTCCCAGCTTTCTTTGGAAAAGATAACAATGAAGCCAAATAACTTTCAAAGGGTAGAAGAAACAAATGATTTAGGGCCATGATGAATTTTGGCTAACCTCCTCGCGGTAAGCTATATGGATCCATGTAACCAACAGTATCCCTTATGAATTTTGGAAATATTTTCGAAAAATGTTATGAAAATCCCCAAAGAAAAACCATAGTCTCTCATACCAACTTGTTGGTATCCCTTAAAGGAAATTTAAGACCATAAGAAAAATTTTGAAAAAAAATTGTTTAGAAAACCTTTCGGAAAAATGCTTTGAAACTTCCCCCCAGAAAAACCTTCAGCTCTGATACCAACTTGTAACACCCCCAAATTTCCCACCCAAAATACCTTTAAATAAAAAATTATTTATTAACTTTATTTGAAAACATCAGAATTGTGCAGCGGAAAATCAAAAGGGAAATAGGGGCATTACCGCCACACTCGATTCTAACCTAACTGAGTGCACAAACTAAAACAATCTAACTCAAAATAATTAAACTTCTAAAATAAATGTTCACTAATTTAAGATGCTTAAAAGAATGTAATTACAATTATTTACTAATTTTGTGTTCTAGCGGAAGCTCTCTCGAAATCAACTTCAACGGGATCAACTCAACTACCTGTACAAAATCAAGTACAGAAAAAAAAAAGAAACAAACATTAGCAACAATGCTAAGTAAGTTCCACCTAACCCCCAAAAAAAAAATATATATTTATATTTGTAAAACATTTCGTAAAAATATATTTTCAAAATACTTCATAAATCATAAGTAAAACAACATATATAAAATATTCTTATAACACAAATAATATGCAAAATATCAATATTTCAAATATAAGTACATATTTCAAAACCATAATAATTCCAAAATATCAATATACGTAAACCACCAAATATGATCACAATTATTTCCCAACCATAAATCAAACATCAAATATTCATCTTAAAATACATATAAATAATTATAAAAGATATTCAACATAATCAAATCAAATCAAATCCAAAAGTATGTATACTCTAAAAACCTACAATATTTTAATAACTCAATCCAACTCAAATTCAATCCAAATATAGTCCAATCCAATAAACCAACAATTCCGATCAATCCAATAATTCAATTACACCTCAAATCCAATCCAATCAAATAATATTCACCTCAAGTCCAACCAAAGTCCAATCAATATCCAAACCAATCAAAGTCCAGTGGAAGCCGAACTCCTACCTTAAGTGTGCACACCCCTCTAAAAGGGATTCCAAGCCCTCCGGGTAGTAAGAAGCCCGAGTAGTCGGGATTTTTCTACCAACTACACTACAGTCAAGCTGGGATACTCCGCTTTTGGGAAGTACCCCTGGTGGATTTAGACTTATAGTCGTTACCACTCACCAAATTCCACATTTATCCAGATGTGGCAAACCGACACCACGGATTACTCCGGGTTCTCACCAAAAATCACAATTCAATCTCAACCAAAACGGATATGAAATCCAAACTCCACAAAATCATAAAAAATGTAAAATATTAACTCCAACATACTACAAAAGAGCCAAATACTTCATAAATATAATCCCAATAACAATTCATAAGATATCTGAAATACTTAAAAATATCATCCAATATTCAATACTCAAATCTCAAATATACTTCTCAATAACAATCGATAAGAAATTCCAAATACTCAAATGTAAATACTAGAAATCTCATAAAGTACTCAAACAATTTCAAAAATGATTTACGAGGAAAAATATAATGTTGGTTGATGTGAAACTTACCTCCAATCGCGATTAATCCTATCCGAAGCTTCTACCTCGATCTTCACGAGAATCAACTTCTAAGAATATTAAAATTCTAGAGTTAATAACTATTTTAATCCTTTACTTATTGTTACCCAATTTATGATCAATTACTCATATTTCCTTCAATAATAATTTATTAATCCAAATAATCCATTATATTTCATCTATAGTCATCCGGCCCAAGCATTATAATCAGCCCAAATATTATACAAATAGAGAGCATGCATATTACGTACGGTTACTGTAGCTGTTGTCATCTTCGTCTTCTTCGTCTTTAGCGGCGACGCAGGTAACGCAACTCCGTCGTCAACTGCAATTGGTCAGCAACGCTCTTCCTTCTGGCGGCGGATCCAGTGGACATAGAACCGGAAAAGCTCAGCGGCTCAACTTCCTCTTCTGCGGCGATGGATCCCTTCTCTGTCCAGTGAAAAAAACGTACGCACCCCAGCGACGGTTCTTCCTTCTCTGACGGAAAGTGACCAAAATAGGTTCGTTATACGCGGCGAAGTCCAGTGGCAGCAGACAACAGTCCAGTCCATGGCATCAACTTCAGGTTCTTCTCCTCTACCTGACGTGAAACCAATTCAATCCGGGAATGACTCCAGCGACTTGTACTCCCATTAATGGAGTATTGGAGCTTAGTCTAGAGGACAAATAGAATTGGGGAAAAGGAGCCAACCCTTTACATGGAGGGGAAGCTCCCTATTTGTAGGGAAAATGGGGAGGGTGCAAAGCCACTCTAATGAGCCAAGCGGGCCGTGAATGAGCCATATGGGCCAAAACGGACCGAGTGGGCCGACATGGCTAAAATGGGCCTCAGTGGTCGAGCTGTGTACTCAGACAATGTCTTGGGCTCCTGAACAGTAACAGACCAGGATAATACATCCCAACACAAGTCCCCTAGTTTCTGGAGTAGTGAACGTGCGGATTTGCTCGAGAAAGTATACTCTTGCTCACGCTCTTCCTTTGTCTTTCTTGAACCTTTGTCTTCGGGTAATCGTACTATATGAGTGGGTGTCTGCCCCTCTGAACATAATATGCTGGTAAGACGCTTCCCCTTTGATAGCCATTATATTTACTTGTGTTTAACATAAGTATTTATAAGTAATTTTTGAAGAAAAGAAGAGAAATTGGGAAAATATCTTGATAATGAGAGTTAGAGCATAAAACATTGCGATGAAGAGCTTTTTAGACCAAGAGGATGACGTTCTGCCCATAATTTGAGTATAACTTAATGTAGAGAACTCGAAATCGCTCGAATCAAATTTCATATGAATGTTAACTCAATAAGGTACAAATGTTATGAAGACTTTATGGCCAAAATATGAAAGTAACAAGACTCAATCAACAAATAAAGTCAGATGTTGCTGGTGGGATTTCAGGATGCATACCTCTCAGTGTTTTATGCATAACTTTTGATTGGATGACTAAAAACACGTGACTCAAGTTTTGTTGGATAGAAGACTTCATTATCTACAATTTTAGTGAAGGAATCATTTCCAAATTCAGAGAGGAACATCCCCAAAATCCCAGGACAAAACCGGCGCTGGAATTGCACCATAACCGGCGCCGGTCTGATGATTTTCGCACATATATCTCAAACCGGTAGCTTAACCGGCGCCGGGTTACGCTTATAACCGGATCCGGTTATGTCAAAATTCCAGATTTTACCTGCGTTCAAAGAATACCGGCACCGGTTAAGCCCGATTCTGCACAAAACATAAAGACGTGCAGCCATATTTTGATGGGAAAAATCCACCTTCCTTATGATCTGATCAAATATTTCTTCCATGCCTAATTGTTGGGCTCGAATAGACTAAAAGATGCCAATCTTTAGCCTATGTATGAGTGCAATGTACGAGACTTGGGGGCCTATCGAACCTATGACCTTTTGCCTAGGAAAAGGTAAGTGGGTCTGGTTCTGTTCCCTAGAACCCTTACAGCCCACTGACGTGCACTTTGTCGTGGTGTGCACTCAAAATAAATATCAATACAATGATTATACGTAGTATAACGAAGTAAGGTTCGTATCCACAGGGAAAGGAATGCTTTTCTTTTATGTAACTAGTAACAAAGGGGTTTTTTGGATTGTTGATGAATCTTTAAAATATATTAAACACTAAGATGAACGATGTATGTGTTTTACTTAATTGAGATGAAGACTTGGCTTTGCTTTTATCCACTTAATGAAATGTTCATCGTTCCCGGTTATATCTTTAACTATCTTCCTCTCGAATACTCAATCGAGGAGTATATCCAATTCATTGAGGGTAGTTGTTAATAACGAGACGCGTTCATTAATAAAACTTACTATCGAGTCAATATAGAACACGCGTCGTATATTAACCCGATAGTAGCAATAAACTTAAGATGACAAGGATTGAGATTGATAACCTCAACACAAGCGGTTTATCAGTTTAATTAATATAATTAATTCCCCTTATATTATTATTAACCATGAGACGCATGCACTAATAATCCAAGTTTACTACTGTGAAAAGACCGAACGATTAATAAGCGTATTCGTCGATCGATTCTAGTAATAATTAATGTATGAAACAAAACTAGTTGATCCTTTAAGTAATGCTCAAAATATTAATATGAAATATGAATATGAATTAATTAATATTCAAGGAAAAAGATTAATGAAAATAACTCACAACTTACAATTCATTAAGCTTCAAAGTAGCAAAACCAAGATGGAAGAGTTTAGCTCCTCATTTGGAGACTAAACATGATAAAAATATAAAGAAAGTACTTAACTAAATTGAGCTTAGAAGTGTATAAGAATTGGTGATTTTAGTGTGAAGGAAAGAGGTGTATTTATAGGGAAAATGGAGCATGCATGGATGTGTACCCGATCGGGCATATAGGGCACCTGATCGGGTACCTTCAGAGGCTTCCTGGAAGCTGGAAAAGCGGAACATACCCGACCGGGTACGTCGGTTACCCGATCGGGTATAACATTCGAACATGGTCAAAATTTCAAAAATCCTCCTGCACGTTGCCTTATCCCGGATTTGATCCGATTTGAAATTTCAGCAAGGTACCCGATCGGGTATAGGTCATACACTCATACCCGACTGGGTACAGGTCAAAAATCAGGATCTTCCATTTTGTCTTGTGATTTTGCACCTTCCTTCCACTTTTGGGGTTCACCAATGGTCCCTTAAGTGACCATGGACCTGTTTAAGCTCAGAATAAACCTAACCTAAACAAATTACAAATATTTTACAAACTAAACTTATTACACCAAAAGTGTGTAATTTCCAATTTAACAATCAATCAAAACTAATTAAAAACACAAATAAAACAATGGA